TCTACTACGTAGGCCGATTTTTCTCTTCAGCAACGCAGTCTGTTCATCTTCTGCCAGAGGATTCATAGATGATGAAGAGAGCAAAAGGTGTTTACATCAATATGACATATCACGCGTTTTCATCACAGTCTCTCACCGCCCTCTCATCACGCGCGCGGTAGCCATAGAAACCGGACAGAGGGGCACTTAGCAACAGAAAAAGAGGAGGCGCAGCATCATCTGCTGCAAGCGGTGGAAAAACAGCCGATGCGATCGACCTTAATTTCATCCTGTCCTGCTTCTGACGGTGAAAACCCGGTCGTTTGTAAATATTAAACATCCATAAAATTACATTTAGCGCTTTTATTGTAGATCTCAATAGGCGCGATGAAGTTCGTCGTGGTTTTGGTCTCCGCCGGACTGCTGGCTTTTCTCGGCGCGGTCATCTGCATCATCGCCAGCGTGTATTCACGATCCTCGGCCGCCGCGCCCCAGGCGCTATCCGGCAACCGCTCACTGTCGCTCCTGGAGCCGCTGCCTGGATCCGTAGCGCACGCCGGGCCGCTCGGAGCTCTCCATGGTGCTGAATCTTATGAAGGCGGCGGATTGGACATCGGCCTGGAGATGCCGTCGCTCAATGAGCTCAGTACCGGGGACGTGACTGGGCCAAGTCCGAAACAGTTCACCCTCAATCGACTCATTTGTACCCCTGTGCCCATCAGTGATTGTAAATCCAGGGGTTTGAGACAACAAGCCGATGACCCGTTTGCAGATGAGGAGGACTGGAGCCTCCGCACCACCGCTGAGGAGCTCCGGCAGATCGTCATGCAGCAAAACGACCAGATCCTCATGGACCAGAGGACCATCACGGAGCTCACCGGGAAACTCTCGGAGTGTGAGAGCGGACTGGAGGAAAGGAGTCTGCACGAGAGGAGTATGGGGGTTTGGGCAGGCAACCGTCGCCATATGGCCGGGGACGATGTGAGCAGCTCGGTTGCAGTACAGCTGCAGACGGCGTGGGCTGTGGAGGAACTGGAGAAAGCAATTCTTCAACTCAAAGATCGCATAGAGAAGTTGGAGGTTGGTGTGAGACACTATAAACACTTTTTTTTTTTAAAGTCTAAAAGGTTTTTGGAATTTGGTGCCATGGAGGTATTTAGGGGAAATGGTTTTGTAGGCAAGGATGCGTGCAAATGTTCAAGATCAGGGGGATAATTCATTGTGCCTGTTCATATTGTAGTACTTCCCTGCTGAAAAAACAATAGACACCATCACAAAATTTGTAATGGTTTTACTGGTTATGATGGTAATTGTACGGGGTTTTAATGGAAACTGTGATGGACCCTGTGGGTTTCTACTGATAAGTGGTTGCCTTCTATTGGTGGCTTGTTAAAACCACTAAATCCTAATGGAATATGTCCCAAAACACATTACAGAAACCTATTTTTCAATGGTTTTAATGGTTAACACTTGATGGTTTGTAATGGTATTTGTAGTGGAAACCATTAGAATTTCTGTGATGGTTTCTATTGTTTTTTCAGCAGGGTTTTTATGTGTCTTTGTGTGTTTTTCTCACCTGGTGGTTGCTTTCCCCTCCATGGTAGAAATACATACATAAATCATGACGGAGGAGAGAATAGTACAGGTTCTCATCCAGCTGGAACACTGTCAGCAGTCACACCTGAATTGTAGATGTTGTGATATTGACTTATGGACCAGATTTGTTATTGCTGAAATAAAAAAATTGATTTCCTGTTCATTATAGGGCAAGATTTCAATATTATTGAAACAAATTTTTTTCTGTAAAGCTTCTATTGTGAAAAACTATATAAAATAAATGTGTTTATTTACTCACCCTCATGTCCTTCCAAACCCATGCTTTCTGTCTTCTGTGGAGCACTAAAGCAGAAATTTTAAAGAATGTAGTGGTCACTGTTTTCTATGCAATTACAGGGAGTTTTCAAGCTTCAAAAAAGCATTTTAAAAGCCCCATAAAAGATTAAAAAAGTTATTTTGTATAACTCATGCATCATATTCCAAGTCTTCTGAAACCATATAATAAGTGTTTGAGGAACAGAACGAAATGTAAGTCATTGTTCACTCAAAATCTTGACATCCGTTCTAGCTCTCCTTAAATGAGAATTAATTCGAAAAGTACAGTATGTCTGATTCAAGAACAAATCATTCTTTTGAGTTCCTGTAATTCAAATGGATTTAATATAGTCAGGTACATTTCTTGAACATGGACATGTTTGGAGGGGCTGTCAAGGACCCTGTGGACCCCTGCCTTCAGAGCTCCCATCCCCGGCAGTGAGCAGGGCCATGGATTGATACCTTTCTTTTTTTAAGGCGAGGGTAAATGAGACAAAAATGGCCTGAGAGGTATGACAACTGTGCTGTGGTCCCGGTCTGTGTATAGAATATATTTACCGTAGAGCTACACTCTTACTGAGTGTTTGTTTCTGCAGGGAAGGGATTTGTCTGTGTGTGTGGTTGTGTCACTTCGGATAGAGCTGCTGCCGAAGGCTTTTAAAGGCCTGTTTGCGTCTCGTGTTGCTTGTGTTATTTCATGCCCTTCTTCTCAAAGCATTACCGCACAATGGTCCCTTCAGATATAGAGAATGTTTTTGTAATACGATGGATGTGGCTCATTCTCACAGCACTTGTCTTGCTCTTGTTTCATTATTTGTGTAAAGTGGAGCTTTCGCTTTTTTCCCAGAGCAGCTTTTTCATTTCTTGTTTTTATTACTGATCCCTTAGGGTCACTTCACTTGTTATTTCAGTCCGGCAGCACTTAAAGGTGTATAACGTCTTATCTTTATTATAACATGTTTAAAATGTTTGTCTTTTGGCATCTGGTCAAATGGGTCTTTACCCTGCTGTGTAGCTTTTCTCATAGATTCAGCAAGATCCAAAAAATTTTTTAAACCAAAATGTGTTATTTCAAGCTTAGTATCTTAAACATCAGACTAAAATTTGAAGATCTGATGTGCAGCCCACACACTATGAAAATATGAATGTAAAACTGTTTAGCATCTTGTCGTGTTACCATTGCACTGCATCTAGCCCTACTTGCCCTTTCACAGAGAAAAGCTTATGGAGAAGTGCTTGTCTGTTTATTTGACTCTTGCTATTGGTTGATGATCGGCTGTGATGTCATTATAGTGCTTCTTCATATTTGCACCACCAAGGATCTACAATGATATTGTGACAAATGTGGATGAAAATATTAAAACTGTGAAGAAAATGAACTATGAGAGTGCATTGTCTTGTTTACTTATATCTATCTATCTATCTATCTATCTATCTATCTTCATGCAAATCCTGGTTATTGTCATTCTCATCCTCTCATTGCTCTCTTCACGCTGTTGCTGCTGCTGTTGAATTATAGATGAGTGTTAATGACCCCCTCCATCACACTGACCACTGCTGCTTCTCTCACACCAGTAACATCCTCTGTGTGTGTGTGTGTGTGTGTATTTCCTCTTCTATACAGTCTCTGTATTTGCCATTTGAATTAATTTAAATCTTTGCAATACTGAAAAATGTAATAATCATAGGCCAGCTGGGTATCCTTCATATATCCTTCCCACAATCACATAAAAAATAATATCATGACATGGCTGCCTTTATTCCTCACAGCACTTGTTTGACACATTCATAAAGAAACACTTTTCTTGGTTGTAATGCTCTGTAAGTGTCATTATGTTCCAGACTCCCATCTGCTGCAAGCCTCCTCTCTTTTCTTATCCTCCTAAGGTACCATTCTTGCTCAAATCAGTGGTTAGATTCTCCCCTCCCCCTGCTTTTATTTGTAAATCTATCTAGAAACTGAAAATCCCCTATAATCCACAAATCAAAACAGGGTCTGTCTGGGAAACTCATGAAAAGATTTTAGAGTCTCAAAATCAGCACCATCCAATGCATTACATACTGTAACCTACAAATGGCTATAATGCTCTCCCTGAATATTAAATTGGGATGTATGAGAAAATATTTAGCTGTATTGCAGTGTTGTAAAGGGTATCCTGTTAACATTTAAAGGGATTGGTCATCCACAAATGAAAATTCTGTCATATCACCCTCAAGTTGTTCCAAACCTGTATGAGTTTCCTTCTTCTGTTGAACATAAAAGAAGATATTTTGAAGAGTGTTAGTACCCAAACAGTTGCTGGTAGCCGTTGATTTCCATAGTATGGATTAAAACAAATACTAAGTCAATGGCTACCAGCAACTGTTTGGTTATACCCAGAGCAGCATTGCATCTTGCTGACAGCTTTCAGATCAGTGTGACAGGTATTTGGGGCACACTCACCAGCTGTGCACAGATGTATCTAGAGCTTAATAGGGTCAGTAAAAAGCAAAAGAGTAAACAACACAGATGAATGTAGTGGGACCAATGCAGCATCTAGATAGCAGGCTTCACCCTGCTCAGACCGCAGTAAGGTTACATGGGGATAAAACACAGCTGGTGTCTGTGCTCATAAAACACTGAGCTTAAAGAGATACCAAAAATGACAATTCTGTCAACATTTACTCGTTGTGTGGTTAGAAGCTTTGTCAGTATTCAGCTCAAAATTTTGGAATGACATCAAAGCAAGTAAATGAGAACAGAATATTCATTTTCGGTGAATTATAATTATTATTTATTTAAAAAAAGACCAATAAGACATGATTTGCAGTCCATCAATTAATGTCGTGTGAAGCAAAAGCTGTGTCTATTTTTACTTGTAAATGGTGCTTGATCTGTGCATATTTCTCTCCTGATTCAGAAGAGATAACTTTTCACTGGAGAAAGCAACATTAATAGCCTAAAATGCCTATAGATATTTTAGCAGAAAGTAATAGTTTTGAAGTTAAAAATGTCTTGATGGATTTGTTTCTTACAAACATGCAGCTCACTTCACAAGGTGTTAGATGCCTATAGATATTTTAGCAGAAAGTAATAGTTTTGAAGTTAAAAATGTCTTAATGATGGATTTGTTTCTTACAAACATGCAGCTCACTTCACAAGGTGTTAATTGATGGACTGGAGTCATACTTGTGGATTATTGTGATGTTTTTATCAGCTGTTTGGACTTTCATTCTGAGGGGATTCACTGCAGAGGATTCATTAGTGAGCAAGTGATGTGCTAAATTTCTCCAAATCTGTTCAGATTAAGAAATAAACTCATATAGGCTAGCTAGGCTACATCTTGGATATCCTCAATT